CACCCTGAATAACAAGCTTACCTAGTGCTATACCCCCATGTGGTGGGCATCCTGAGTCTAATGCCTGAAGTAAGTGATTAAGCTGGCTGGAATCCTCCTGAAATGAGAAATAAAGTTCAAAACCATTCACAGTGCACTGGAAACTAATCAAATATTATGAAAATTTGTTTTTTAATCACAACATCAATACTGCATTAATTGTACAATCTTAATTATACGCTGGATTTAGAAGCCATGCAACAGTGCATGAATAATGGATTTTTGCCCTCCACCCTGGTTAAGTACACACATCACGCACACATGCAATAATACAACCATACAAATAAAGAAAAATATATTTTGTGATTACCTTCAAAATTTCTTCTAGAACATATCTTTGCATTTGGGAATTATGAATTCTTATAGACCCTCCTCCAATCTCAGTCCCATTTAGCACCAAGTCATAATGCTGACCTTGGACCTGAAATCAACAAGAGAGCACATGTCCTGGGCTCTGGGGTCCGGTAGGGGAGCATAAATTTATGAATTTATTCAGAATTTAAAATATAAGACTATACATTCTGCAGAAAAAAAGCTTCTGTCTGAGCAAATACAGACCTTAAACATTCTCAAGAAGATACTTGAGAAAACCATTTGGTCACATCTCTGAAAATCAACCAACACAATGTCGCCCCTAACGCAATGACAAGTACTTTACCTTCTCCGGGTGAGTATACAACAGTTCTTCCTGCCCTGGCTGAGGGGCTGTGAATGGATGGTGAGCAGATTCCAGACCCTCTGAAACATTAGAAATATTGATGTTTACTATACTATATATAATGCTTACACTGTGGATAATATGGAATACAAGTACATGATGTCTCTCTCTCTTATGTGCTGAACCATAGTAAAAGGAACCTACATAAGTATCATATGTATCACTGAGTGTTCATTAAATTACTAATATTGTCATTTCTAAGATGTCACCAAAACTTATGCAATAGCATACATAATATACCTCTTACAAATTCTGCCTTAAGCAGAGTGAAGTTGGCAAGTTCATTTGTAAAAAGGCACAACTTTTTTCTTTTTTAAAAAATCTAATGTACAGGGTCAGATATAGCATTTGTAGCTACTACTTATTTAATAAAATCATGATTGCAATATTACTTATTGTTTGTGTGTGTGCATGTGTGTATAAGTGCAAGTGTATTTTGTTACAGGGTTAAGCTGAGACTACTAATAGAAAAAAATCATACAATTTCCAGAATACCCCAGGTAAGCGAGTTAATAGTTTCATCAAACATCAGTCAATCATTAATTAACTCTCATCATGATCATCTCTTTTTTTCTTTTTTTCCGACTATTAAATCATGCTTTTGTCTGTTTGATATATGGAGAGCAAAGAATTTCACAGACAGGTCATCCAGGCTCAGTGCATCTTCATAAAAATCTCAACTCAAGGGATCTTGCTGTTATTGATGCTGTTTTATTTATTATGGCACAATCAATCAAAAATGGAAGATGAAACAAGGTTCAAAATTCCAATCCATGAACTCTCGAACTCCACAATCTCCCCCAAGGAAAAAAGCTTGAACATACCGTAAATCATCAAACCAGTAAATAGGTCATTAATTTGCCTCGAACCATTGACTAATTCCTTTTTGATGACAAATTGATGAGCCTTTATGATCAATAAGCCATTTTGATGCGACTTGTGGGACTCTTTCAATCACATATATGTTCACTCACATCTTGGTTAAATAGATGCTTACCATACACAACATTTAGTTTATTAATTCTGCAGAAAAAGAAGTGGTCTCCAAGGACATTTCAAAAATGCGTTGAGCTCAGCTCGCAACTAAATTTATAATCGAATGGAAGAAAAGTGATAGGTATGTATGTTTTTTTAAGTAGTAAATAGATAATCCCGGTAAATAAAGGATTTACGATATGCAAATCACTGCTAAAAATATTTATTGTACAGTTGTTAATCTCAATTGCAACTATTTAATAACAATATTACAGATAAGAACAAAATTAAGCTTTCATGCTATTTATATTCATAATATTAATAGCTACTAATAATCTACAAATGCTACTTAAAATTGAGAGAGAGAGAGAGAGAGAGAGAGAGAGAGAGAGAGAGAGAGAGAGAGA